GCAGATGAAGTGGACTTCGATTTAGGCTTTCCGACCGTCCTAGCCTTAATCTTAATCCCCTTCTTCGGCTTCCCCTTTCCGCCTTGGACCATAAGGACGGAAGCACCCTTGCCCTTAGTAAGGTTCTCCTCTGCAGTCTGGAGCATTTTAAGAAGCTCCGGAAGGGGTTTGTCAAGATCATGCATCATGTAGTTCATGAAAAAACCCTTATACAGCTCAGGGAGCGACTGCAGGATCAGGTCCGTTGCCAACTCCTTCTGCAAGGAGAACCCGAGTTTCCCCAGATTGGTTATGTAACCAATCATTTTGCGAACGTGCGGACCGACTGGGTTCCCTGAAGATAGCTTGCAACTAAAGAGAGCCTTACTCACGAGAAAACGTTCATGCCTGGATTGCCCCTGGTATAGCTGCCGCAAGGCCACGATCATCTCGTGGGCCTTCATGTCCTCGTGCTGTTTTTGCAGCTCGGGTATCATGGTAGCCAGCATGACACAGCTGACCTGGTTGTCATCCTTAACGTGTTTCTCGTAAGCATCTTTGACCGCTTTCGGGGCGTTAGCGGGAGGGGCAGGAGGAATGGGCTTTTCGAGCACATACTCTTTCTCATCCATGCGGAGAACAATGCAGAGATTGCGTTGCCAGTCAACAAAGTTTGTTCCGCTCAATTTATCTTTATCCAGAATGGAACGCAGGGCAAGGTTGTTTGTGTTGTTGTTTGCCATCTACAGAATTTTGCGAAGATAGTTATTATCATGAATTAAGTATCTAATAGGTCTTTATTAAATACTCTCCCACTATTTCTAACAAGTCAACTACCCTCAGGTACGGAACCTATTGACTTGGGGTTTCTATTTGAAGAATACCTAGCGGGCCAAGATCCATATTTTATTTAACTATAGTTGTGCTTTGCATCTTGCCCTACAGTTAAATTATTTAGGTAGGAATTCATTCCAATTGCAATCGTTATTACAACTCTTGGTTCGGTGGATTCTTTTAAATAAAATTCTTAATTGGGCCAGATCCATATTTCATTTAACTATAGTTGTGCTTTGCATCTTGCCCTATAGTTAAATTATTTCTGGTAGGAATAAATTCCAATTGTAACAATTTACAACTCTGGTTGGATGATCTGATTTTATTTATTGATCCTACCGCAGTGCCCTAAGTCTCTCATCCTTATGACCAAGACTTAGTTAAGACTAACCCGGGGCGAGTCAGTACCCTAGTTACGGGTTTCGCGCCTAACCAACGTAAACCGGGCGTCTCACTTGGGTGAGTCCGTTACCGATCTAAATTGGGTTTGACGAGTGACGGGGCGTCGGGGTGGCACAGACTTAAAATTATGAGGGATTTATAACGCAGTCTT